TGGATGCCGAAAATGATCCAAGCCCATCTCAAACGCCTGTAATCGTGATTTCATACACTTTTGCGATGAGCGATTCTTAGGTTTTGCATTGAGGACTTTGCAATGCGCCATATACATATGCCGTTACATTGTACGGTCGTGTGAGATCATCGGTTTTCTTTTTGTCAATGACTGAATGGAATTTATCTAACGAGTCGAATAAGCCACCAGTGAACTCAGGGAACCCTGCTGAACTGAATCATATACTTACAATAGCTGTTTTCACGACGGTTATCTGACACACATTAACTGATACCTATTTGATGGGATTTGGTCAAATTTGGTTCATAGTTTCTTAATTGCTTTTAGCTTAGGTTGCGCTAGTTGCTTATTGACCTTATTTATCAAATTATCAGTCGTTACTTTTTACTCAAGCATAAGAATAAAATTACGTTATGAAAATAGCTGTAGTAAAAGATTTGGCTAGATTCGTCTGATATCCGTCGTGAAAACGGCTGAAATGGCCTCATTTGAACAGCTTCTTGACCTCAGCGGTTTTGATGTGGCCTCGACCTGAGGAAAACGTCTTAAGCTGAACTCTTCCAAACCAAGTTTTATCATTCCAGCAACCGGTGACCTCTGAGGTCAGGTCAAATGCCTTGAGGCAGGGATCCAATTTTCGGCCAATAAATCCCCTAAATGGTCGCAGAACCGTCATTTCGTTATCTGGCAAAATATTTCAGGTCCCGAAACTCGTCAATTGAGATAATACCGACCTACGGCAAAAGTATCTGTCGATTCGACAGCTTTTTCTCAGTACATTGATGTCCCTCCCCTCAATGTCGTCATTTTGTTAGGAATCTATTAACGAAAAACTCTCGACTCAATCAGCGTTAGTGACGTCATAAATGACGTTGCGTCATTATGACGTCACGCAAGGCCCACCAGCAAAACTAAAGCATCGGACCTTGCAAAGAATGCGTGAATTAGATGCGTTCTCTCCGTAAACTATTGTTTGGCGTTTCGCAATAGTAACATTTTTAAGCATTAGATAGGCTCACTTACGTGACGTCATAGTTCAGTAAAGTGACCTTATATGAAAGTTCATTTGATGTCACAAGATAAATCAACTAGATAACTTGTAATAACTTTCCGGCTTCAGCACTCTATCGCCAATGCGTCCCCAGCAGTGATGAGAAAACCGTCAAAGGTGATCAGCATTCGCTCCCTCGGCCACAGGGGGTTAAACCTCGCTCTCTTGAAAACAATACGCCATTATGACGTTTTTGGATCTTTGGGTCCTAACTTAGCTTTCGTAGGTGTCTTAAGCATCTTTAAAAAGAATTAACAGCGTCGCAATGAGCTCTTGATCACATTTCACCGTACTCCGTTTAGACCGGTTGACAGTTATTGTTATTTTTTTCACTGTACGACGAAATTCAATGTTGTATAGCGACCTTTAGGGGAAAAACATGTTTTTAATATTTTCATCATTGAAAGTCAATGCGTTGACAAGACTTTTGCTGCAAAAATAAATTGTAAAAAAAGATGGCCACGTTCTCAAAATTTGATTTTTATAAATCAATTTTATGTTAAAAAATTAAAAGAGCAAAATTTTCAAAAATAATTGATATCACCAAAATCTTTGGTTAATTCTTATTGTGATGATATGCAGTTTTATATGAATCTAATCAGTATTTAGCTAAATATTTGCGGATGAAACTTAGAGTTTTTATGGTAGCCATTAAGTTGCCTGGGGCAATATCTCCCAAAGTATTCGACGAATGAGATTGAAAATGTCACAACACGAATCGCCGGACAAGATAACCCCATAGACGAAATTTCATCAAAATATGAGAGGTAGGGTGTTATTTCGCGATTTTTTTGGTCGATCTGTCGTGGAACGCCCCAGCTGCACCCCGTAGCCGGGTGCAGAGAATGCTTGGGGGGCTGGTCGGCCTGTCCATTCGGACGGGCTCAGCCCCGGCGACTCACTAGGGTGCCTGCCCAGACCAATGTCTCCCTCTAATTCCTATCATCCTTCCGGCTCTGCAATGGTCTTGTCGACCGAAAGGGCCTAACCCAACAAAACAAACAAACAAAGCCTCCGCTCTATAGGTATATAGACGATCACGATGCTGCATGAGATTGTCATTGCTATATCAACGAAAGCGATCCAATGTAGAAGTTGACGGAAAACCGCGCTTACATGAATGTACATGTTGTGGCAACGTGGTCGCTAACGCCAAGAAAAAAGTTTGAGAAATGTGACTAAGCCGCCTTAGAGCAAACATGGACCAGCCGTCCAGTCTCGCATTTATTTCCACCGAGAGCTAGGTAGGGGAAAGTGGGGTATGACGGCCACCTTAACTTTGGGGCCATTTTTCGGCCGGTTAGAAACATCATAGAAACGGGAAACTGAGTGAAAACCTTTTTTAGACATTTTACTTCCATTTGCCAGAAGATGAGACTTGGACCTGATTCAACAAATAAACTGCAGCTATTTTTGCAAAACTTTGCAAAAACCCGTCTTACCCCACCCCATGGAGTAAGACGGTCACATGGGTAGGGCAAGACGGCCAGCTTCTTTCACCGACCAGCACAGCTCGCAACAAAGGCCCGAGATTAGCCGCATTGATACAGTCGCTCGTTGGTCTCAAGTGCTCCGGAAATGACAGTATACGAGATTCGTGCAGAAAGCGTATGCTCGTATATAGGGCCTAGTTCAGAAGCCATGTAGAACCGTTTTTCACATTCATTATTCGAGAATAAACTGTGCCGAAGGAATATTGCTAACATGTCTGTGAGTAGGTATCGGAATCGAACATATTCTTGTTAGAAATGCTTCTATTTTTCTACAGCAACAAAAATATTTTCACCATTACAGACCCATTGGATTCATAGTTGTCCGTCTTACCCCAAACTCAATGTCAGAAGTTCAGCACGATTTTTCTCTGTGGACAATTTGATGCAGACAAAGCAAATCCGCGGTAAATGAACACTGGTGAAATATGAGTGTACCACAAGTGATTGCGAGTTTTTAACTCTATAGTAATGCACACAAAAGCTTGCACAATACATTATGGATGTTTTCAATGAAATGAGTGTTTTAAAGAAATCAAAATAAAAGATTATCGACTGAACACAAATTCACCAGACTTCAATGGTGGTGTGTAGTGGGAAAGGCAATTCTGGTCCTAATTTTTCTCGCTCGTAGCGCTATTGGTTTGGTCTGCAGAAGGGGTGCCCGTGTTACCTACCCTGACCGTCTTATAACCCACTTTCCCCTACTGCCTCAACTGCCGTCCGCCGAAGCTGAGTTTTGTGCAAAAGCACACATGCCTATAGGTATTCCTACCCATCATGACTGTTCACCAAACAAAACGAATGACAAATGTTCAATGCTCATGCGCATTATTTCTTTATCTATGAAGGGAATATAGGTTCGTAGAAAATGCATGGTTGGTTTTTCAGAGGCCATATAGGTAGAACACTTCGCTATTATTATTTCATTTGTCAAGACTAGGTACACGACACAGGCCGAATATCAGCACAGGTCAAGTCAAGGTCAGGTTGGGTGTAAGGTCACTCTACGAATTATTTGCGTAACGCCTTGAAAGAAAATGTTGTTATACCATTCCCAGTTCCCACATATCATCTATCACGTGATGGGCCACCCTGCACCGTCCATTACCATCAGCATCAGTCACGTGATATAACCCGCGCCCCGCTGGGGGGGGGGCAGAATCTGCCCCCCCTCCCGTTTTTCGCCAATAACTTCTAAACGCGTTACGCCAGCGACGTCAAACTTTCATTACCTTATCATACATCAATTTGACACGTTCCCTGAAAATTTGAGCGAAATCCGTCGGAAAATTTTTGAGAAATTGACGTTTTAGTGACGTCATGTTCGCCATTTTCGCCTCAAAAATGGCAAAATTTCAAACGCCGCTAACATCTTCATTTTTAAAGGAATCAAGACGTAACAAAAAAGGTTATACGTGATTCTACTTTGTCTATCAAATAGCTATCTCGGTTTTTTGAAAATTTGGGATTTTGGTCCAAATTTTTTCAAAAAACTGACTTTTTTGGGAAAATATTTATAAAATCCAAAATTTTGAGTGTATCGAAAAAACCGGAATATATGTCAAAGAAGTGGTCTATGTGCACCTACATACCAATTTTTAGAAGAATCGGTTCAAAAATGTGGGAGTTATTCAAAATTTTATGACGTCACGACCGACAAAAATTTTGAAAAATGATTTTTTTGGAAGTTCTGGACCTCGTACGGAAACAAAAATAGCACCATCCGATTCGCCGTGAAAACCTGCATCAGATAGACACCTTTTTAGGCCTTAACAACCAACTTCAAAATTTGACCTCACTTGACCTGACCTTGACCTGACCTCGACCTGAAATTCATCCAGAGGTGGTCCATATCACTTATTGAGTGCGCCTATTGAATTCTATGAGCAAAATGACCCATAAAACATGTGTCGCACATGCCCTTTTCTATATTTTGTTTTTGGTGACCTGACATGACCTGACCTGACCTTGACCTTGACCTTTGAATGACATTGTATGCAACGAATATTGTCTTGGTAGTCTAAGAAGACGTTTTGGGCAATCAGTCTCACTCCATTCTTCGGCAACTACGGTGCAAGGCCGATACTGTAGAAACTTGCATCTTGTACCCTTGACCTGACCTTGACCTGACCTCTGACCTACTTAAGCAAAAAAAATTGGGCTCTTAAGATCCGCCTTGTTGAGAGCTTTCGATTGCCGTTTTCCCCGTCTTTCTACGACCATCCGTTCGGAAGTTAGACAGGGGGGGGCAGAATCTGCCCCCCCCCCCCCCAGCAGGGCGCGTATGGCTGAATAGCCCAGCGGGGCGCGGGCTATCTCAGCAGCCCGCCGTCGCCGCCGCGCTGTCTGGCTCCCGTCGACGACCGGCCCACGTGCTGTATCGTCGGTGGCACCGCCAGTCGGCGCGGCGCCGGCGGACCCCTCGTCGGTGGCGACGGGCAGTCGCTGTCGGCTCCGACGGAGAGTCAGTTGAGCCCGGGGTCGGGCCCGCCGCGGACGGCTCCGGCCAGAGGAGGGTGTGAGAAGGTTGTCTGGTGGACACTGGATTTAGAGGTGAGTTGATACCAACAATTTTTTATGCGGAATAATGGTGAGCTGGCTTTCATCCATGAATATGAATATGAATTGAATTTCAATCTCACTCTTCGCAGGGCGGAGACGAATTCAATTTGCCAGTTAAAAACAGTCAAGACGTAATTCCAGGTATCAAACTAAACTTATTGGTGATGACAAGGTACAAGGCCATCAATATTTCCCAGAGTGGTAATTTCGTTGGCGGAAAAGCCGTCTGAATACTTTATGTCAACATTCGAACACCCTGGTGTAGAAATAATCCTAACAAATTAAAGCGAAGATTGAATTAGATAAAGGTCATAAAGGTCGGTGAAGATAATGTAGGGCTGAAGCGATAGCACAGAAGTGTGCTGAATTATTCAACGGTTACGGGACATTGAAGGCTAACATTGTCAAGTTTTAGTTTTTAAATCATAAATTAGTCGCCCCATGTTTCTGATATCACCGTAGTCCGTAAGCCTTCATTTTTCATCTATGGGTGTGCCAAAGTGGCACTGGGAATATTTTGCATAAGTTACGCAATGTGCAAGCTGCAACAGACAAGCTTACAAGGCAAGGCCTGGTGGGAATTAAGTTGAGCCAATTACGAAGCGGTTTGGAACTCTCACGCTCAAATCGATACCAGCACTACAAATCATCTAGCTAATCGATGCGATGCTCCTTAACTTCCCGTTTAAAAGTTAATCTTTCCTGTAATCATAAGATGAAACACAATTATCAATGGTCAATGCCCAGATATATTCCTCAAATAAACAGACGACAGTATGAAGGCTAAGCATGCCGCCCAAAACCGAGACTTTGTCATGCGTTTCGAAAATGCAGTTCAATAAAAAATAATGGAGACGTTTAACATACTTTTATTTCTGTGATAGCCTGACACAATGGTATACATATTATTGTCTGGGTTATCTTCTCTCATCAGTCTTGATCCATTAGACGTGTTTGTCTGCGTGTATGCGTGTCTATCTTTCCGTATTATCCCAGGACCCAGGCCTGTCCGCGATTGTCTGTAACCTGTCACTACTCACTGAAATCGTCCCCATCCCACATTGTCTGAGTCATGTCTCTGCGTGCCTACCGCTTGGCTAGTGTCGGCATGCTTACATAGTGTATATCTACTACAGTCGTCTGTATTTTCTAGCGCTCTGTCTTCATATCATGCCCCTCCCCTTGTATTGTCTGTTGCTTTGCCTGTCGTGTGTCTGTCTGATATCGTCGGGCGTCTATATGTGTTGTCTGTCACTCGCTATCTGTCTGATATCGTCGTCCGTCTATATTGTCTGTCACTCTGTGTCAGTCCCAGGCGGCGCCGATGCTGATGGTCTGTCAGATATGCGTCATTGACTGTCAGCTCTCCGTGATTGGTTGTGCGTCCGGACGGACGGACGGGCCGGAACAGGCATCGGTGACGGACGGAAGTACGGCTATTAACGCTGAGACACATTATACAGTGTGTACAGTTTGTACACACGTACACACAGAAGGCCCGGAGACATTCTTGATTGGAGAGACACGCTGGAGTAGCTTGCTCTCTCTCTCTCTCTCTCTCTCTCTCTCTCTCTCTCTCTCTCTCTCTCTCTCTCTCTCTCTCTCTCTCTCTCTCTCTCTCTCTCTCTCTCTCTCTCTCTCTCTCTCTCTCTCTCTCTCTCTCTCTCTCTCTCTCTCTCTCTCTCTCTCTCTCTCTCTCTCTCTCGCTCTCGCTCTTTCTCTCTTTTTATCTCCTCTCTCCCTCTTTCTATCTCTCTTTCTCTCTCTCTCTCTCTCTCTCTCTCTCTCTCTCTCTCTCTCTCTCTCTATCTCTCTCTCTCTCTCTCTCTCTCCCTCTCTCTCTCCCTCCCACACACATCCTGTCTCTTTACTTACCTCCACATCACGCACACAAACACGCTAACACACGCATAACAATGTGTTGCATATGCTCCTTGATCTCCACAGTCAACACTACTGTCGCCGTGCCTCAATGTCGGCTCTCAAAGCTATTCAGTGACTCGCTCAGCTGGCACCTAGTGATACCATTAGTAGGTACTTTCCCCTGAAAAAGGCATATCACGTTCGGCTAAATATAGTTGCAAGGTATGTGAATTGTGGGGAAAAAATAGAAAACATGGACGGCGTGCCACATAACCGGTATGACACACGGAGCACGAAAACATAGACAGAATCAGAACACAGATTGGCACACTGGGGTAGGGAAAGCGAATGAAATAAAGGACTTTAGGGCAGTACATTAGGGACAAAAAGGACTTTGGGACTTAGGGACAATTTATCTGCCCAACATACATACTATTGGACAGATTTACTATTGTGCTCTGAGATCCAGAAGTTCCTTGAGATCTAGCGGATTTTTTTTCTGGCTACCGCTCAACAGGTGGCGAACAATGGCGTGAGGAGAACAGAAATGGAGAAGAATTGAAAATGTGGCCTCCATTTAAGGGACGTACTTAAAGTGAGAAATGTGATAAGCTTTCATTAAGAAAATTTATAAGAGCTGTGTTGTGAGAAATGCCGGGCAGATGTGGCGAGATGCATTGACTTGTGAGAGTTTTATTCGAGTCACATAAATGTGGAAAATCGTTAGAGATATGGAAAATATGTGGAAGATCTTTAGCTCGAAAGTGGAGCTATAAAAGAGGAAATATGTTGGATGATGATAAAATAATAAACCAAAAATATATTTAAATGCATTTGTAATAATTTAGTTTATTATTTACATCATCATCCAACCTGTCATGGATACTCAAAGATATGTTGGAGTTCTGATAGGAGCAGGAAGCCGAGTAGGAGTGCTGCTGCTCCTACCAACCTTTCGCCATTCCCGTCATGATCCTCACAACATCGAGTCGGGGGAGATGTGGTCAGGAATTCGGAAGTCTTGTTAGATGTCCTATGGTAGGAGCTTATGGAAGATAAAGTGAGAGAATTGTATGACTGGGAGATCTGCTGTGAGCGGGAAAGCTATGGGATATGCAGTGAGAGAACTATTTGTCTCTGATAGATCTGTTTTGGTCAGGAAGTTATGTGAGAGACTTTGTCTGTCTCTGGGGGACCTGCTGTGATTGATAAGTTATGGGAGACGAAACGTGAGAATTTGTCTCTGTCTAATAGATCTGCTATGGGCGGGGACTGACCTGATCGAGTGCTGTGCGTTGGAGCGGGAAATGGGCATGCCGAGCGGCACAGATGGTCCAAGCCCACCCACCTCGCCTGCTCTGCCGCTCGGAGTATGGTGTCCACCAGGGGTGTGTCCTACCTCCCACGGTAATGACACCGCTCAGCCGGTGGAATGGCTGAGATTGTTACTATTTCGGGCTTAGGATCTCATGTAAATCGACCGTAAAATTGCAGCAGCATGGTCATTTGGGGACAGCTGGTACTTGCTTAAGGCAGCCCCACACTGGACCTCGCATGCGGGTTGCGAGTTTGCGGGTTTTGAGTTTGCAGGCATAATACTAATTCATAGAGTGCTTAGACCGTTCCCTTATGGTAACTTCATGAATGCAGTGAAGCCGGTACGCCTTCAGAAAATTGCATATAGTCGCAATACCAGCGCAACGAACCAAAATTCGACTCCAACGAAAAACCCGCAAGCCTCGCAGAACTCGCAGACCTCGCAGCGAGGAAAATCGAAAGTTGACTCAAAATCAACTCTTGGAATGCGATGCAAGGTCGCCCGCAAGCTAAAAACATGCAGACTCGCTTGTTAGATGGTAGTGTGGGTCAACCAGCTTAGTTTGTATTCTTTGCTTTTAAAGAAACCCGAAAACCCAAAAACTCGCAACCCGCATGCGAGTTCCAGTGTGGGGCGGCCTTTAGACACGAAATTCGGTAGATTGAGATTAAAAATTTTAAATTTTCAGTTTATTGGTAATCTGATCACTGATGCTCATTCTCTTTACTGAATTCGTTCAGTTGTTTCTGCATAAGCATCACTTCACTTACCACTGAATTCAGTGACCCCTGGCGACGACCAATGACCCACTAACGAGCCTCACAGCCCCCTAAATCTCCACTCCACTTCCGCACGTAGACGGAACTGCGAGCTGTTGAATGGCGCCACAGATCTTCCCACTGAGTGAGACCTCAGTGAAACGGCATCTCGGGATGGCCGAGCCCTACGTGACGTGGAAGCAGATGGCCTCTGCCAGACGTTTGCAGGCTGAGGTTTTCCGTAACTGGCTGAAGTGCCGTGGAGCCAGCCTTTGAAGTGAAGTGCCACAGTTTGTGATGGCACGCTTGTGAAGATGTGTTACTTTTTGCAAGAGTTTTTATTAGTTTAGCGTACCTGAAATATCGTTTGGTTTAAATGCTGAAAGATTTTTTTTTATATATAGATGGCTGAAATGGCTCTCCGGAAATGTGATAGTGATTTAATGAAAACAACACTAATCCACATCAAAGCTTTTCGTTATACAACACGAACTAGGTTTTTTATCGGACCAGCCTTCTCACGCCGATAGCGCTGCAAATTGACGTTTCAAAAATGGTCTCTGTTAGCCGTTTTCAAAACGGGTTATCTAGCGAATGCACCAAACTTGATCAAATCCCTCAAAATCTCTTTTACAGCAAATATAGTCACATCATAAATTCATTTATTTTCAATCGAAAATCGTGCCTAATAATTTGATTAAAAAGATAAATGGGCAGGTATGCAAGCCAAGCTCAAAACTGCAAATAATCAACTATGAACCTAATTTAACCCGCGACCGCCTGGGGGGGGGTCGGATCCGACCCCCCCCCTCCGTTTTTCTTGAATAACTCATGAACCGCTTGCGCTATCAACTTGAAAGTTCGCATACCTTCTCCCCCATCAATTTGACGTCTCCTGTGCAATTTTTAAGAAAAAAATTTCAAAAAGTTTGAGATATATCGATTTTAGTGATGTAACTACATGGCGTTTTCAGTCAAAAAATGGTAAATGTTTAAAAAATCGCCAAAAATCGAGAGTTTAAGTAAATTGCAAATTAAGGACATGAAAAGACGCAGCTCAACGAGTTCTTTAAAATGGCTATCTCGGATTTTCCATAAAATGCGTTTTTCACCCCTAAAAATTCAAAAAACTGTATTTTTTGGAAAACAGCTAATAAAATCCAAAATTTTGAGAATTTCCAAAAAACCGGAATATATGTTATAGAGGTCTATTAGAACATTAGATGTCCCAAATTTCAACTTTCTATCTTCATTTTTGACCCCCAAATTGTAAAAAATAGCTCCAACATGCATAGGGCATGGTGACGTCATAAGCATTTTCGCGAATTAGAGGCACTTCTGAACATCGCATGTGAAAACAAATGGCACCACTAGATTCCTGGGACAAAGCTTGTCTAGAAAAGTGCATTTTTATGTCAAAAATAAAAAGTTGAAAAATTGACTTTTTTTCTTAGCCCTCGTTTAGTTATGTATGGAATAAACGATTTTTTATGCTTTCAATGCACACTTATCACCAGCACAGTGACTTGGGGTCACATATAACCATTACCATCGGATTTGGCGTGAAAAATAAGCCATAAAACATGTGTCGCACGCCCATGTATCAGAAAGTGAAAACCGTGACCTTTCGTGACCTGACCTGACCTTGACCCGTACTTAGTATGACCCCTATACGCACATGGTACCTTCACTAGGTCTTTGAGGTCATTTGTGGTGAGTTTCGAGCAGCAGCTATCGATTCCGCTGTCCGTAAGCCTAATCATGCAAAACCCCTGAAGTTGACCTTTGACCTGACCTTGACCCGAAAGTTGACCTCAATCTTAAAATCTTAAGAGCGCTTTGGGAAGGTCTCGTAGAGACCTTTCGAACGCCGCCTCGCGGGGCTCGATACGACCATTGGTTCTCGAGATAACAGGGGGGGGGGTCGGATCCGACCCCCCCAGGCTGATGTGGGTACGGAAATAGCCCAGGCGGTGCCGGGTTAACCAAATCGCACCAAATGTGACCAAAGGTGTGTTAGATAACCGTCGTTAAAACGGATGTTGTCGACAAAGTCATTTAATTCAAACGGTCAATCATTCAAAAGGTCATTCAATTAGTGAATGAAAGTTAGTAATATTGGCGTTTAAAATGATAAAAACGCTGTAGCATTCTTCAATCTAAGCGCAGCAGAGAAATTACAACTAGAAAGAAGGGACGCTTGGCGGCTGGTGCATTTCCTCGTCAACATGCTGTTTTTTAATTTTAATTCTTTTATTAACCTAATTGTCATCGCATGTGCTATGAAGGAATACTAGATACAAGCATTATGGTGAAGTTAGATAAATATAGTAGTCTGATGCTCATGAGTAAGCTATATGAAATGTATATTTTAGAGAAGAGAAGAATGTATATTTTAGAGAAATCCTTAAAATAGATACAAGCATATAGATCCTAGTCGTCAAGCGACAATGATGCAGTGTTTTGAATTCATCTGAACAATACACGAAGCGCAAAATTTATTGCCCTTGTTTTCATCGTTTGTTCAATAGATATTAGGTAGAATTTCTCGGTATATTGTATGTCAGGCAATCTTACCCGCCATGGTAATCTGTCTTCACTCCGACAAGATTGCGAGGCAATCCATCTTGTCTCAGGAAATTGCCAGGAATTAATTAGCTATACAGTGATTTAGTAACACTACGAGCAGTGTGCTCCGTGCTGCGTGTGATTCGTCCTTTCAAACTACGGGCATATATTGGCGTACTGAGGCCGAAGCTTACATATACCCATCTGCGTAATTCATACGCATGTTTATCACGATTTATTTTCATATTGACACGAAGCCTGAAAAGCCTAAATGCAATATAGTACCATATTAAGTCTTGACCTTTTACATCACATAAGCACAAAGTTATCGGACCTCGGTGCTTTTTAATATATTTTGCTACGACGATCCATTGCTTTGCCGAAGCTGAAAGCGCTGTTATTGAATCGCACATATGCCCCGGATGTAACACGTCCAGATAATTACGTTTTTCTCCTATCGCCCGTCGCCCTCTGTCAGGTTGTTCCGTTTGCAGCGGCTCACGCCACGGCTGAGCACACCCCTCCAAACAGGCTGTTGTTGGATTTGGTGCTACCAGCGGCACCCTTCCAATGATCTCTGTTCGATTCGCACCGGTCATCAATCGTTAACGCTTCCGTGAGCAGCACACAGCCAATCGCAGACAGTTCCGCACACCGTTAGACGGTGGAAAAGTAAACAGTCCGACAAACGGACAGACAAACACCCTTACAGACTGACTGACAAATTAAAAAAGACGGCCAAACAAACAAACTAACGCTACAAACGCAGACTTATTCCCATATAGGTGAAAAGACCACCTGATAAACACTACAAAAAAAAAAACAAGATACACAGAAGACATCATGCAAATGCAATATGAAAACATAAATAAAGCTGTCACTCTACCGTGCCAAGTAAATAACCAAATAAATAAGCAGACTGCTGCTGTGTGGGGCTATAGAACCAGAGGCGTAGGAACAGGAGGGGGGCATGGCTCCCCCACTTTTCAGCCATTTTTAAGAACCAAATTTATTATTTATTTGAATACAAAACTAAGAGCAGGAAAGGGTTCAGCATGGTGAGATGAGCACAAAACTGCAAAGAATCTCTTCATAGGGGTATTGGGGCTCCTACAAAGGGGCATTAAAGCTTCGCTGCCCCCCCCCCCCACTTTTTGTGAGGTTCCTACGCCCATGTATAGAACCTTCACCGCGTTTCTTACTGCCTCTGTGGTAGTGGCCTAGCCAGCTCCACAAAATCACTGCCAACACCAGCGCCTGTGGCAAGAAACGAGGTAGCAGTAGCCGTGCAAAACATGTTTTGGTGAGTGTCACAGGCGCTGTAGGATAACAATGGATGGGTTTGGTGATGCTTTAAGACGGGAGGGAAGGGAGAAGGGGCAAGATGGTGGGAGAAGGGAGCTGCGACATACGAGGGACAATGACAGTAAGGCAAAGGAGGGCTCGTTTGTCCATCTGCCCACCCGTCCATCCGTCTATCCTATCATCCGTCCATCCGTCCGTTCGTCCATCCGTCCATCCGTCCATCCGTCCATCCGTCCATCCGTCCATCCGTCCATCCGTCCATCCGTCCATCCTACCATCCGTCCATCCTACCATCCGTCCATCCGTCCATCCGTCCATCCGTCCGTCCGTCCGTCCGTCCGTCCATCCGTCCGTCCGTCCGTCCGCACGTCTGTCTTTCTGCTCATCTGTTGATCCGTATGTCCCTCAAAATGACCTTTCCGTCCAGGCGTCCGTCCTGCCGATCGTGGGCGGCCCGTACGCCCGACCGTCCGTATACCCGTAATTTTCCGTCAGCAATCGATACGGTAGTGTTACGTGTTGTCGTTCTTGACACCCGGTCAACGCGGTGTGACTACTAACACAGTGGGGCTACCATGGTTTCCAACATGCAGCCTTATGAGTATCTACACAAGTCCTAATACAGTTGGGGTCCAACCTCTCCCTGATTTGTTAGGAAAGGATAAATGCGCACCTATGTGCATAGGTGCTAGCTAGGATCAGGCTAATTTGACAAAGCTGACCTTGACAATAGTCAACTACTGCAGTGGCCATAAAGGGCCGTCCAAAACTTCGAACGATTTTTTCAATTGGCCATCGAACACAAAAAAACGCAGTTACCTATTATTTGACTCAAAACAGTATTATACAATTTAGTTTGAATAGTGTAACAGCATCATTTGCCTCAGTCCCCTTTAGCAGCCAATGTATGGCGACTATCGATCCACTGACTAAGGTAGCTGAGCAAATAGCAAAACATTCATCACAGCAAATGGAATCGGCGCTAGTCGGAGTGCATTCAACTGTGGACAAGAAATTATGAGAAACCAGGATATATTACTGTAGCAACGAAGCAATTTGCTGATTGTATTGTGTCGCGCTCAATTTGCTCTCCTTGTTGAAATTTTCAACAATTGTATGCCAGCTGGATACCATACACTGAAGGTATAACTTTCAATGTGCGCCAACGTATGGTGGTATTACAACAAGAGCACTTCATTTTCGTTTCGCTGCCATTTTCCAGCCAACGCAATTATCGTTGGTAAGCCACTGCGGTCCTTGGGAGCAAAGGAGCCATTCTGGCCGTCTTATTGGAGAGACCCTCTCAGAATGCCCCGGCCGTGAGTTTCAGACTCAGCTGAGTCGGTCACTGTGAGACGCTGAGTTCGGAGATGAGTTCCGAGAAACGGAGTTCTCGGACAGGGTGTGGTGTCATTAAGTGTTTTCTCCTCCGTCGCTCTTCCTTTTCTTTTGTAAAAGTCAGACTGTGTCGTTCGTTGAATGTTTTCCGTTATCTTCCTAGCTTCTTCTTTATTAACTATCCTGGCTAAATGAGTTTCATTGAATGTTCAAACCTCAGCCTATTTTTCATGATAACAGTATTTTTTTCTGAATCATGTCACAATTCCGAATATTCGTTTTCTGAGCAAATATCGGCGTGTCGTCGACTCCCCCAACTGCGCTGTGTGCTAGCCCATCCCAGCGCCCTTCCTGGCATATCTGACCGGCTCCTTTCGTTTCAGACCCACGGAGGAGTCTATTACATCTCCATTACTGGAGCTTCTCCACCCACCAACGCTCAATGGACATAGATGACGTCACCCTGCTTACGTCACAAGTATGACGTGCATCGCAGCCGAAAGGTTATCATCAACGGCAGGGCGGAGGCGATGGATCAAATATGTGCCGGCTACGAGCTCAGAATTCTGAGTATCCCCGAGGCCCAGCGCACGTCTCGTGATGTTTTCTAAGTCTGAAAGACGTTAGGGTTCTTTGTTGACGAATTCTAAAGGAGGACGCTGCTGTGAGAATGGAAAATATGACAGGCAGTGACAAAACGAGCCAAAACACGGCGCGTTGTGCGTCCTAACTACCTCACTGACGTACCGACAGAGGCAGCTCCCAACTCGCCAATAGATCACCCAGGAGCGACGCAACAGTTGACGGACTAAGTCGGCAGCGACGAGAGAGAGGGAGAGAAAAAGAGAGGCGCTTTTTCACCTCCCACGCCACACTGCAGCCCTCCCACTCCCCGCTCAGCAGTCGATCGAACGGCCTGTTGCATCTATTCGCCGCTGCGTTGTCAATAGTGCCCAGACTACGTCACCGGCTCAAATCAGTCGCTGATTGGTGGAAAAGTGCTGATGGACGATTGCGAATCGGCGCCTGAACGAGCATGATTGTGTTTATTCAAATTGAGCAATGAAAGCGTCACAATAAGCGCAGCGTGTCAGTTCCAATTCCACAGCACATTCACTGGACCATGATTCCGGTTTTTACTGCAGTGTGAATAATTTCGACATCCAGGAAACACTCATCGCCGTAAAACAGCGGGTTTTCAGCTACAAAGAAGTGGTGTGTACACCAGCGAGAACATTTGCGGTCTGTGGCAAAAACGGAGCGACAAAAGCAAGACAACAAGAAGGCTGCACCACTGCGCCAGAGACAACCTCTCTTCGACGGGTGGTACTGGCTTTAGTAGAAAGCACTCGGAACGAAAAACTCCTTCGGCTTTCTTCGCAGCGAGTCGCGATGAACGCAGTGCGTGATTTGATGCTGAGCTTCGATGCCGTGTTCTTCTGTCTGCTGCTGCTGGCGTGTCTGCTAGCACTGGGATTCTATCTGCGGAAACCAGAGAGCACGGCAGGTGAGTATATCGAGGTCGTCACGCAGCCCACAGGTGATGTGTATGAATTGTGAGCTGCTGGGGGTGTTGCTAAAAAAAGACGTTCGGAACCGCATGAGTGAGAACTCAAAGTGAGAACTGGGAGTAAGGACTCGGCACGAAACCTTGGAGTGAGAACTAGGAGTGGGGGGTCACCGTGAAAAGTTGAAGTGAGACTCGGAGTGAGAGCTCTGATTTACGGCGCAGAGTGTGATCTCGGGTCGTGAACTCGAAGTGAACTCTCGCAGAAAGCGGACGGTGTGACAAAAACTCGAGTCGTAAAAGACAGTGTTTTTTGTCGGAGCTCCGGTTCAGAAAAAGGTGCAATGTCGGGCTCTTATGAACAGAGGCGGGTTGTGATGGAATATCGACGAACATTCGATCCCTGTGGGTGTCGAGATAGACTAATCGAAACCGACGGAAGGTTTCGCCGACGACGGCGCGTCCTCTCGCAGCCTGCCCGTCGATCAGTGTATTGCGGTGCAGCAGACCACGCAGGCGCTGTACTGGTGCTGACATCTGCCGGCCAGCAACATAAGTGGTGTTTGTGATATCATCCGCGAGATGCCGGGTGCTGACAGGCTGAGAGCACCCCGTGTTTTAGTAACTGGACCGGTGTTAGAATAGCATTGCCATTGTATTTGTTACGGAATCGCGATGCATTTCTAATGAGTGAGCGCATGCATACATGAATGAATGAATGAATGAATGAATGAATGAATGAATGAATGAATGAATGAATCATGAAGAAAGGAAGGAATGAAAGAAGGAGCAAGCGAATATAAGACTATGTATGAAGAAATGAATGAATGAATGAATGAATGAATGAATGAATGAGTGAGTGAATGAATGAGTCAATGAATAAATGAATGAATGGAGGATGAATGAATGGACGTGTTTCCGTGCAGTGTTCGCTCAGCTCTTCCACAAGCGTGCTCAGACTATTCACGTTCGCTGATTGTCACGACTTTCGCACTGTCGGTTGGAATAAATGGATAACAGCGTTGCTCAAGGCTCGTTTGTGGCAACTCTGCTCAATATCCCTCGCAATATGTACCGTCGAACAACAAAGTGCATGGCTTGACAAACTGTCGTCTGTGTTATGAGAAAAGAGCTGCCCAGCCCTGGCGAAAGTTGAGTGGTCATTAGCGCTCAGTACTGCTGAATTATATGTGTTAATTTATTTAACTTGGAAGTGGGGATAAGCAAAATATTCAAATAATTCGACAGAAGTATAAACACAACAAACGATTACCATGTATAAGTTCCAGAAACGTGATGGTAGCAGTTCTAACTTCTAACGACAAAAGTTTTTTTTTCTAATCTTGCAACGTTCTAGTACCAGATAACATAGAACGTTCATATCTTTTGCTTCTAATCATTATTCATTTTCGTGATAATTTTATTACTATGGCAATAGGAAAACCTTTTAAAGGGACTATCCCACTTTAACATGGGGTTTGAGTTGAGATAGCCAAGTTTGCGACGAGGTTCAGAAACCACTATCTATCTAGGTTGCAGCCCCCGCGGCCTCTTGGTGTTGAAGAAATTCGTTCCCTTCATTTGAAAATGGGCCTTGTACAAGGCCCTATCTTCAACATGGAGCGACCGTTAGTGTGACGTCACCTCGTTTAGTCATTCTGATTTAAATGGGTTTGTTCGTTGAAAAATCGCTTAAAACTGTGGTGCCTACAGAGTAAAAAGAATCAGCTTTATGACAGTAATGTGGCCTGGGGAAGGAGATAATTTTGGGCTGTGACGTCACATATTTGAAAGTTTGTGTTTGGAATATGGGAAGCCTAAGATGTTTAATGAAAAATAAATGCCAGAACCGTGTTCCTGGTCATCCAATCTATAAAGTCGGGCACAATTTAACTGGTTTTAACAGCATTTTAGAAGGTGGGATAGTCCCTTTAAACGCTCACCTACGCTTTTCGGCTGACCATCGCCGTCATTCCCCCACCATTCCACCCGCTGCTCTGCCCATCCCTCACTGCACGCGTAGTATCGATTCTCGGCACTCCCATCCTCACCCCTCCCCGCCCTAGTTCTACCCCTCCCCCTTCCCCTGGGTCGTGCCTGGCACTACCCTCTCGGCGCAGTAGAACAACAATCGGCAGCAGACACGAAAATAGAGCTCGTCTTGGGTCACGGCCAATAGGAAAGGGGACGAAGATTGACGAAAAGAATGCTTGATCATCAAAATATGATGGGCATAAACCAAACTATCCTATTTTGTTGTTTTTTAGATCGCCAGTGTTGTCCCTGGATAAAGCTACACATTTTCGTGTGTACTGTTTTTATCTTGACTTTTACTTTCCGCACAATTTTCATGAATACAGCGAACTTCAAACTCGACACTTAGAGCGAGTCCCATCCAGCGTAGTAGTCCTTGTATCGCTACTTGATTCCTTGGATATGATCTAAGGATGTGACATAACTTGATTGGGAATATTCAATTCTCTATACGGTTGACTTGTGATCCTCGGTGATAATCCCTATAACGTGAAGACATAAATACAGATGTTTCGAAAATGTCAAGCGATACATCAAAACTAAAACTGCATTTAATTAGTTAGTATAATGCATTATGTCGTAAAGTTAGCGTGTACCGTCAATCTGTTCAGCACCAGCAGAATACTGACATTTCAGCCTTTGTTAATCCCTAGCCAATGTGTATTTTGGACGTTGGTGCTAGTTTTACTGTTACATCGACCGCAGTTATGCTCCAACCACCCACACTGGACGTTTCTACCGCTGTTCCAAAGTTATCGCCCACTGTGGCCGAATGATTGACCGATAAAAGAGTCATTCCACTTGGAATGGCGACTTTAAACATGTGAGCGGAAAATCTGGACGAGAAGGAATGTCTCATTTTTGGGTGACAAGCTCCCGAGCTGTGTCCATTTATCTGAATTCAAATTAAATGTCTAAAATGAAGCATGAGGAACAAAAGCAGTT